CTACGATGCCCTGGACCTATATGAGAATAACGCGATGGACTTCCCCCTGCATACTATTGTGGACATCAAAATCCGTGTCACAAATCTCAACAAGAGCAAGAGAGGTGCTGCTTTTTTTTTTACAGATGCTCGTGTTAATGTTACGTACTTTTTCTGTAGGTGTATACATCAGAGAACTAAAAGAGTCGAAGGAAGTTCAAGAGTACGCAGTCACTGTCGAGCCGAAGTTCAAGGAATTTAGCGGTATGCGGTCAGGTTGCATCCAGTTATTTATAGTAATCGCTTTTCTCTTGAAGATAATGCATGTCAAGCCGATTTCTCCATGAATATTGTTCTCCAGTCAGACGTTGATTATGTTCAACATCCTAGCCTGTTCATGCTGACATCTGAAGGCAGGAGTTTCACTTTGAAGGTCGATCCAACTCAGCTCTCTCGTGGGGGTGTCTACTTTACTGAAGTGAGCTATGATTTGCAATTCAGATCTAAGAGTACTCTTGATACTTCTTGATGGATAGTGTTAGATTTTCTATTGCATCCATTTACCGATGTGGAGTGGAGTTTGCGCTATTTCAGCTGCGCGGAATGTACGCGGACAATTTCGCAATGGGACCTGTGTTCCGTGTTCCCATCACTATTATAACACCCGAGACCGTCGACGAAGTTGACTTCAGTGTTGATCGCACTTTCAAGAATGTTGGTACCATTCCTATCCGTCAGTTCATCCATGTGCCTCCAGAAGCGACTATATGCCGTAAGAATATCACTCTTCTCTTCACAGGTTCATCCATGCATGTTTGCTGTTGTTTGCAGAAATTTTCGTGCAAGATCTAGCTCGGAAACCGTTCGACAGGTTCACACTGCATTGCGTGCAGCTTGAAGATGATAAATGCTATAGGAACAGTGAATCGTACAAAGTGAGCAATAAGCAATTTTCGACATTTCTGAAGTGCTAGTGTTTAGATACTGGGTACTGACTCGCACGAATGGACCAAGACCTTCTCGGTCGTAGGCGATCGCACGCTTGAAGTTTGTCTTGTGCGCAGTTGGACCCGTTCTGATGTCGAAGGCAGTGTGCGAGTACTCACGAAGTTCTTTGGTGTGCAGAGACCTCAGGTTATCAACTTGGTAGGTCAAAAATTGTAATGTTTCATATTTCACTGTTGTGGACTTGATATACTTCCAGGTCCACGGCTCTCCTTACGCCCCCATT